AGTTCCGGGACTCAACCCCCAAAAATCCCCCAGCCGGCGAAGGCGGGCTGGGGAATTCTGGGAGTTGAAGTCCAGACATCTTCAAGTTGCCAAGGTTGAGAAACACTGGTCTAGACTAGTAAACTAATTGTCAACCCTGAAGGGAACCTGGCTGAGGCCATCTTGGAGGCTTCAGGTTTGCCACACAACAGAAAGAGGGGGGAAATAGTTAGATGGGGTTTTGTAGCCAAAACAATAAAGTTTTCCCATGGGAACCAAGGACATTCTCATAGGGGGCTGGCCAGAGGAGGAGTGAAGTAACCAAGCAACCGGTCAGCATCTCGATTGGACAGCATGACCAGTGACTTGGGGGAAAGGGGAAACTTTTACTTTTTAATTAGGTGAAAGCCGTGGGAACTTTCAGAGTCGGCTTTCACCAGTTGTGCCAATTTGATGTATCCAATAAATTGTACTTTGAGGATTTTGCCTGCCTTGGAGTTCTGCTTTCTAGAGGTGCATTACTTGGAATGCTGACGTCAAGCTGACTTGACTGTGAGAATGTCCTACCTGACACACACAGACAAAAGAATCATCATCTCAGGAGAAAGCAAACTTCATGCAAAGTCAATGGGGAAGCCAGCGGGAAGTTGCAAACGGCAGCGATGTGACATAAGATGTTATGATTGTGTGGGATTCACCTAACAGTGGCAGTTGGGACTGCCCCAACTGCCGTCACAAGATGATGCAATCACGTGACATCACACCGCATAGTTATGGAATTGCTAGTCCCTGTCAACATCTTTAAAATGAGGACTACCTGTAAGCACCACCGTAGACAGGCTGAGATTTTGACAATCAGATAGGAGATCTTGGTGATGACTTTTAGAGGCAGATTGGGCCAGTGTACAAGTTGTGATGATGAAGATGAGAAAGATTAGCAGTTGCCGGTTGACAATAGGAAGATGAGAAACTGAACTGTTGACAATCTTTTTAAAATTTGAGTCCCAACACTGGATGCCTCCTCAGATCATTCTCCTATATTTATTGCAGTGGGAAAATGCCAGAAGTAGATTATGTCATCCTGACCGAATGGTTTGACTGGATCATCAAGAATATGGATGTGTCAGTTGATCTGATAGGTAAACACCTCTATTGATTCTTCAGGAGTGGGGAGGTTTCGTGGCTACCGATCATTAGGGATAATTTCGGTAATTTGAGTCTTGGAGACTAACACAAGATTCTCCAGCACGATGCCAATCAGAAATTTAACGATTGAAACTGCCCATGTATCCTTAACAGTTCTAAACTATAATGGTTTAATGCAGTTTACCTACAGACCTCTCCTGGCATGTGTTACCAGAGACTCAAGCGGAGATGCAGGCAAGAGGAAAAAGTAATTCCCATGGTAAGGAGGAGATCTTTTAATTTTTGGCAAGATTACAATTTGGTTGGTTGGAAGAAGAATCAAAAGTCTTCAGTCCCAGTAACAAGATGGTCATAAGCATCCACTGGGGCAGGGGGGTCAAATGTCAACTTATACATGATGTCATCACAGAGATGATGCAACTTTAGTTCTTCCATCAGACATCATGGTGGAAGTGTGGCATTTGTGCAGCGGTATCCTGATCCATGTAACCATCGTTTTGAGGTCACGATGGTCTCTTTGGGATATTTAAGATTAAGTGAGGTACTAATACCACTCTATAAAGCCTTAGTAAGACCACAGCTAGAATACTGCATCCAGTTGTGGTCACCACACTATTAAAAAGGATGTTGAGACTCTAGAAAGATTGCAGAGAGGAGCAACCAGCATGATTAGGGGGGGACTGGAGGCTAAAACATATGAAGAACGGTTGCAGGAACTGGGCATGGCTGGTCTAATGAAGAGAAGGACTAGGGGAGACATGATAGCAGTGTTCCAATATTTGATGGGCTGCCACAGAGAGGAGGGAGGTCAAGCTATTTTGCAAAGTATCTGAAGGCCAGAGAAGGAATAATGGATGGAAACTGATCAAGGAGAGATTCGGTTCCACCACAAAACCGCGGTAGACTAGAGCACGCTCGACGAAAGCGCGTACGTGACGTCATCACAGTGAGACGAAAACAGCATGCTGTGAGCGGTAAA